TGATGATTTTATATTATTACAGTATCTTTAACGTTTAAGCAATGTATATCAATACTGTTATTTGATAAGTGAAAAAAAACAGTTCGGAATATATTTCAAATATTTTGAGTGTTTTATTTCAACTTAATCTAAACATGACACTACTTAAGAAAGAAAAATAACATATATAAACACTAAAAGATGAGAATGATTGAAGTGAAACATTATCATTAGACATGAACATTTTAAAAAGCAACGATATTAATATATTCGATCTACCAGATGAAATATTACGTATCATTTTCAATAAATTGTATACGGCCGATATGTTCTCTTCATTGGTAGATGCTGATGTGCTTGATAAAATTTGTTCGAAAATTTTGCCTAGAATTAATGAGAAAGTAACCAAACTCACTGTTGATCCGTTTTCTATGAAACATATTCTTGGTGCTGTTTATTATTATTCGTCAATTTTGAATCAGATATATTCTTACGACATTTATCAAGTATGATTATGAATTATATTTGACTTCATCAACCACTGATATGATATTTTTATTTACATTTAAGATGATATAATATCTCGTCTTGTTAATGATCAAATTACACAATCTAACTACCTATATTGGTATGGAGACAGAAGAAATACCTAATGGATATGAGCCAAATATCTTTATATTGATACTATGGTTCGGTAAATATTGAATTGATTTGACCTTTTCTGAACAATTGCCAAGAGCTGATCTAACATTTTCGTCTTGGAATATTCCACACGGAAGTTCTTTATCTTCAACTCTCACTAAGTTAACAATAACAGTGGATACTTTTAATCATTGTCTTCAGCTTCTTAATTGATGTCTCCAATCTTTATCAACATTGATCATCCATATCACGAGAATTACCCTTTTATCATCGAATATAGACAATACAGTAAATATAAGTGCGATCTTTGAAATTTACTGATTGTCTCGCTTTCTTTAGCAAAAACTTGTCAAGCTGAAATGTTTCTCATTTAACAACAAGCCGGTATACATATTTCTATCGTAAGGAGATTGTTCCATTACTTCGTCAAATGTTAAATCTTGAAGAATTAGCACTACAACTTTCAGTAATAAGAGCCGAATCAACTTATATTGATGGTAATCAGTTATACGATGAAGTTCTTAACTATATGCCGCGATTAAATAGATTTATTTTCAATATACACACTCACATTATTAATAGTTGTGTTGGAATTGATCTTCCATATAATAATGATATTCGGAATAGTTTCATTAACAGAGGATTTCAATCAATTGATACATGTGCTGATGAAAGACTTATAAATAATAGAGGCAACTGTCATGTTTATTCTCTTCCATATCAATTCTCCGAATTCTTATTTATGAGTAGTTGTTTTCAAGGTGGTAAATTCAATAAAGTTCGAATGTTATTAATGCTTGATAGACGTCCATTTGAACATGAATTATTCAAAATTATCTCTCAAGACTTTCCTTTTCTTCAAAAGTTAATCATATGGAATTCTGAACCAGAACAAAATAAGCAACATCATTCGTCGACAACTCCATCTTATATATGCATAGAGTGACTATGTCATACAGTTTCTTTTTGACAGAGTCACTCGTTTACCTTGTTTGACAATTCTTGATATTAGATACGAAACATTAAAATCTGTGACAAATAATTTTACTAATGATGCAACACGTGCGATTTGTACTGAAATAAAATCTAGAATTACAAGTGATACATTTGTTCGTTTAGAAAACTTTGATTCATATTTTTCTTCTCACGAAATATTAGTCTTACGTAAATCATTTAAATAGAAAGAAACGCGATGGAAAAGTAAAAATATGTTCCAATCGTGATAAGTAACAAATTACTGCATCAGTTATCGATTGTACTCTCTATATATAATGGATACAATAATACTGGATGAAATCATAATATGAAAATAAAATAAATAGAATTTAAATAATTGATTTTGTTCTACAGTAGTTTTATATGATTGAGAAGATTTTAAAGCAGATATTAAATCTTTAACGGGACATATTGCACGATAATAAACAAAGAATTTCATTGTATAGATTTATAGTAATCAGTCTATTCTGAACTATGAACAATTTAGTTGACATCATAAATATAGGCCTCAATTTGGTTAGGAGAAACGATATGAATATATAAGATTAGTTCATATGAAAAATGGTGAGTTGTCTAGTATCGTCTGCAGCAATGATATTGAAATTTTTAATCTTTTCAAACAGTTTTTTTTCTGGTCGTATTACTTTATTAAATCAACTTTTGCTGTTTAAAAAATCCAAATTAAAATAAACAATTAAAGCTCTTCTGAACAGAATTGACAGAACTAATTTTCCTCTCGATGATCGGAGATATTCAGAAAGAAACTATTTTTGTTTAAATAGTACGACCAATCACTTATTATTAAGAGACTGTCCCAGGGATGTACCGATGGAGGGAATGTGGAGTCACGACCCCTTTCACGTTTGGAAAATTTTCTTTTTTTTTATTCGAAAAATGATGCTACAATGGAAAAAAGATTTTGCATCTCCACACGTTTAAAAAATTGTATATGCACCTTACCAATCCTCAGAAAATTTCTTTTGGATCTCCCCCACGTTTTTCTCTTCGGCACATCCCTAGAGTGTCCATGACGAGACCAAAAAGCCGAGACCCTCGTCAAAATGTGATTTAATTATTTATGGACAATCGAAAGAATATCATCTACATGCATATTTTGTCACTTATTGAATCTCTATATAAAGTTTTGATTACCGTACATCAGTGCAAAATAATCAATGAAAATATAATCACTAATCAGAAATTTATATTTAATCATAATATACTACGAATTTATTTATTATCATTCGTGCATTTAGTTTAAGACTTGAACTCATTTTTGAATGAAACATTCGCAAGCCAGTGATATGGTTTATTTACAAAATTTTTAGTATTATAATAAAAATTACTATTGAATAGTTAAAGATTAGAAGAAAAATTATTTATTCTTGCCATTTTAATTAAATACATCTAAATGATTGTCTATTACTAACCGTTCAGCTTTTTTTTTCAGCTTCAATTCGACTACAGTATTCTTCTTGATATAAATTCAACATAGTTTTAAATCATAAGATAAAAAAAATAAATAAACTTACTAATAATTCAAAGAAAAACCAACTAACTATAACCAAAAGCAAAATCTCGTGTTGTATCTGATGAAACAACCCATTGAAATAATAATTCTTCATGTAAAGTAAAGGCTAAAATAAAATGTTATATTTTTTTTCTTCCCAATATAAAGCGTTAGTTTAAATGTAACAATCTCGTTTTCCTGCAAGCTAATCCCTCACTTACATTTTAAATATTCAATAACGATGGAAATATTTTTACAATTAAATTATTTGTTTACTTTTCGTTGTTGAAAGATTTCTATTGAATAACCTATCTTTGACAACATCTTGAGATGTTTCATCAATTGGTTTTCGGATGAAGTAACGAAAATTAATAAAAGAAAAGAAATAGACGGTAAAGTTGAAATAAACTTGTTGAAATAAGATCACCATTGGTTGCAAGTGCCACTTTCATCTTCCGATGATAATGATGGACTCGGTAAATCAGAATTTGCTCTACTTCATGGTACATGACATTGAAAATAAAGTGAACTGGGACGAAGACTAGCTGATTTTGATGAAACATCAGTCATATCTATATATATATATTTAATTAAAAATTAAAATTAAATCAAATTTATTTAAAATAACCAATTTCAGTTGGTGTATGTAATATACATTCATAATGAATATAAGCTAAAAGTAAATGATTTCTTCCATGTGTATCATTAAGACCAGCAAGAAGATCATGTTGAACTATTTTTATTAATGTTTCAAAATACGTTTGATTGACATTCACTAAATAGTAATTTTATTTATATTTATTTGATAAAATAAATATCTACAAATATTTCTATTGACAATTGGTGGTCGTACTAATAATGAAAGAAGTGTATTAAGAAAAATAAAAAGAAATTGAACAAGTTTTTCAGCTGATGTCCAAAACAAAATCCATAATTGATTGTTTAAAATCGTTTTCATTTATTTGATAATGAGAATAATGAGTTATGACTATCGGCCTATTTAACATTATTCACATTATGATGCTAAATATTAAAATTATTCAAAGAACATTGTAAACAAAAAGTTAATCATCCTAACATATTTTATTCAAAACAATATGTAGGGAAAAAAAGCTCAACAATTTATCGTAAAAAGATTATTTTATATATGTACCATTTAGATTTAATCGTCAAAATGAACGTGTTTATGTTGCAACTCGATAGATGAAGGTGTGGGTATAGTTGAAGAAAAGACTATACTCACGCCCACATCTACACTCTTGGTAGCACACAAGCTTAAAGAAATCGATTGATACTCAAACGAGAATATTGAATGTCGTAGCCAGGCTACTAAAATATCTGTTAGTTTTTTCAATTTTTCAACAATAAGAGAAGACTGATCTAGAAAACAAAGCCGCAAGTTTTATAGGGTTCAGAATCATCTGTTTGTAGAGCATGGAATTAAACATCTGAAATTCGCTTCTGAATTCTAGAGAAATTTAAAAGTGCCTTAATCTTTATAAACTACTTATTACATAATGGAATCACATTCGTTCTTCTTAAGAACAATTCAGAATATTGAAATAGGGATCAGTTATTGAAAAACTAGACACTTTAATGTATTTTAGAAAACACCAATAGTTTATAGAAGTTTTATGATCAAGATTTTAGCAAACCATGCTAGTGTATCATTTCTTGACAATACTATCTATCAATATCCGATCGCGAAACGGAACATCAATGAAAAAGACGGTTCCAACTCGACGAAAACTATTATTCGAGGTAGAGCGAAGAGTGAAAAATCCTTGACGTTTCGATCTCTGAAGATGAATCAGATTACATTATTGAATACTTGTGGACATCGCATAGCTAATACTTCGATAGTCGATTCAATTTGTCTATTTAACATAAAGGATGTACCATAGATTCTGCGCATTAACAAAAATTAGTTGATAAATAAACAAAGAGTGAATCCTATCCAACGATATTTTATATAAGCTTCGAGTACTTAGGACAATTTTTTAAATGACATATCATCCAAGGATATTATCTCTTTTAATAATAGTGATATCAACAGAAGAAACACGATAATTAAGATCTCGAAATACACCAGTATTATTTTCAATGATTAAAAACAAAACCTATTTTATTTAAATATCATGTATTTCTTTTTCATTACTTATTATCACTCTGCAATCAGCTGTGTTCATACCTTTATCGTCGGTCGATGTTTACTATCGGGATGAGGAGTCTGAATTAGATGAAACAATATCGTTCCATGGGAATTCATTCTTTTTTTCCATAAAAAATGCAGTTTTCTTTGCGATGGAGTGCCGACTGAAGGTGCTTTATGAGAATGGTAGTGATTTTTCGTGACAAATGTTTAATATTTTTACAGAAGTTTATACAATGACAAGTAACAGTGATTCTATGTTAATGGTCATCAGAATTTTATCGTTTCCATTTCAAACTAATTTTCAACATAAACTTTGTATACTTTTTGATTTAGAAAAAATCAGTGCATAGATACAAAATTGTTATGAATTCTAGTGAACCTAAAAATATTACAGAATTTATCACAGTTCACAAAGATCTAAAAAATCCGCCAGATTGTACCAGATTATAAAAGGGTATTCATTGATGCTTAATAATCTTGTAAAACTAAGAATTCATGAAACCAAATTGCACTACAAAAGAAGTATTAATACTTCCTACTACTTACGAGAGAAAATCTTTGGGTGTGTCTCTGGAATTTCAACGAAAACTAGATGGATTTGTCAAGTCAAGTATTGATATCTCAAATATAGAAAAAAATAGCGACTGAGACTAATCCTTTAGAAACAATTGTGTGCGGGTGTGGGTGTGGGTGTGGGGTGTGGGTGTGGGTGTGGGTGTGTGGGGTGTGGGTGTAGGGTGTGGGTGTGGGTACATTAAAGATAATACTCACACCCACATCCACACCCACACCCACACCCATCTGGAGCGTGGGTTGTGGGTGTGGATGTGGGTATTAATTTATCACTCACCCACACCAGATGCTGTTTGTGTCAGAAACAAGGAAGTGACGTCGTTGTATTCTGGAAAAGATAATTAGTTAACCATCGGCTCGTACAACGAGGTGGGTTTGTTTGTTTTTGAAACGCGTATTCAAGTTATCATCATGTACACAATTATACAGCCATTTGTGTGACGCATCAGACAGATGAGATTTGGGCTAATCGACGTAACTCACAACGTCCAACGGAGAAATATTGCTCAATCGATGTCATTAAATCTTGCTTATTTTGCGACTTGTTGTGGAGGGAAGAGTTTAGTTAACTTTGATCCAATCCATTTTCAAGAATATAGAACCCTCGCTTGTTAATGATAATTTTACAAAAAGCCTGAAAATTAGAACTACCAAAAGAATGCTTTCATAGACTCTATATTTGAATAACAGCCCATCTTGGTTGACTTGAGTTTTTGCAGATCAATGTACTATTATGTTCGACTGAGAAAAAAAAACAGCTGAAACGTCTTTATCTTTGGTATATTACGAATATCACTAAAGGGACAAAAATCACTATGTCAGGCAGTTTTCACGATCAATATGTTGCGATTGGAGAGTAATAACAATATAAAAATTTTACTGCTACTAGAATTAATGAGAAAATGTCTTTGATAGAAGTTTCAGCTGTCTAACATCTTGTTTGCATCCAAGAGATTCCCATATCAAAAGAATTCAGCGAAAAATTGACACAGGTGATTTTCATTGATTTAAAGCATGAGTAGTTAATGACAATCCAGGAAATGGAATTTTCTTGGACTAAATTGACGATTATAATTAGTTTTTCTGCACATTTGATTTGGAATCAATTATTTTTCATCTACTTTTTACTGGAATCGAATAACACCGATTCAACAACTGATACTTATTGCTGTCAATCAGCAACGATGATAATTGTTAAACTAGGGATCCTTTAAAATCGATTGATATGCAACATTAGGGTGTGGATGTGTGAGTGGGGTGCGGGATGGGTATGGGTGTGGGCGTTGGTCTTAGTCTTCTCTTCACCCCCACCCCCACCCACACACCCCACCCCCACACCCCACACCCACAATCTGATTTTGTTGTTCTGAAAAATATCATGTTTATTAAATTGTACTAACTAATTACTTTTTTTTTGTAGAATAAAGATATATATTGTGAAATTGAATGATGAAACTCTGAATGTTTTTGCTGTTTAAATCGATAGCAATTGCAGTTATTAAATGAAACAAAACGGTCTAGGATACATTAAAAAATAAAAACTAGAAGTTTAGTTCGTTGTATAAAGTAACTCAATAAAATTTTTAGCGACGTGGTAAAGCATGTTTATTGACATTCTCCAGTGCTATAAGATCAAAATCAGATCGATTCTGGGCATATTCACGAGCAACCTCTAAAAAAGAGAAAAAAAATACAACTAGAATGAAGATTAAATAACACAAACCAGCGCGAAGTGGACACAGAAGATCTGGTTTATCAATACGTTCAATCACAGCTTTCACAATTTCATGCAAAGTAATTATAGACTTGTATTTAGCATGTTTATTTAATAACTCATGAGAAAATGTACCTAAAATCATATTTGATAAAAATTAACTATAACTTTTTTAAGAATGTTCTTTTACCATCTTTGTCAACATTTGGATGATAAATTGGAGTAAGAAAACGTACTTCAGGTGGTTCAAATGGATACCCTACTTTTAATTTTATTTCAATTTTAAATGCGCCTTCTTTGAATACTTCTGAATCTGGAAATATTCGTCCAATAATAAGCATATCTGGTTGAATCGATGAAGCAGTTGCTTCTGTTTCATTATCTTGCGCATCAAATTGTGATTTCTCAAGTACAAACTTGGGATCTGAGCTAGTTGCATTCAATAATTTTAGTCGAGATACTTGGCTGTATGCTTCTTTGCTTAATCTAGCGTCAGTCATTTGTTTCTCAATCTAAAAGATTCGAATAACTTAATAATAGTGTTTAAAATAAAAGAAACAGTTCTTTTAAAGGAGGAAAAATCACGAAAAAAAATTTCGTCGATTCTGTTTATAGACAAATCGACAACTTTAAAAAGCACTTTCTAAATAAACTTTGTTGTTATTTATTTTCCAACTCTTATGTAAAATTGTGGAACAAGAAAAGATTAAGTTGAATGTCACGAATGTTACAATCATTTAAAATATGTTATTTTCTGTTTTTCTTCTTAATGGAGGGAGGCAAGTTAAACGAAAACGGCTATAGTCAACATAAAGAACGTGAAAAAAAACATTCTGAATGCTGACTTCGACAAAAACTTTCATGGCGATTTTTTAAAAATCAAACTATCTATCAATATCAATCTGACATTGTTATAAAGAAGCAAAATTTATATATGTATGCATATATACATATATACACAACTCATTATTTAGACTAAGAGTGCATTGTCAAATGGTCTCATGAAGAAAAAAACGCTTGTCTCAGATGCATATTACTCACGATGTAATTCTTTCTATTCTGTAAAAAAAAACGACGGCAGGATAGTGTGCGTCGTATATTTATGTATTTCTGTTTTCATTGAAAAATTCCAATGCATAAAGCCTTTTTTATTATTATTCAGAAGTAAAACTGAAAAGCACATTTTCTTTTTCGTTTGAGTCAAATATATTTTGTTAACAAATCGTCATAGCAGAAAAAATTTTATTACGCAGTATTATGATATGACATCTACATTTCTGTCATAATTTATCTTTTCTTTCGTGCTACCTTTCTTTCTTCCTTTTTGTGGAACTCACATATATTTTTGAAGAAAATAGTGAGTGTAAGTTTTAAGTTCGAGTTTTTGCGGCTCCCCCCTCCCCCTCCCACCTCCCGTTACAGACAGCCCGCCCCCCTTACAGGCCATAGCAACGAAAGAAAAGATAAATTATGACAGAAATGTAGATGTCA